TGAAACACCGGATTGGAAGAGATATGAACTGCTGCCTGATTGTCACAATAGAGCTTCATTGGAGTACTGATGTCATATCCTATCTCCTGTAGAAGRTTCCTYAGCCACACTAATTCACAAGCAGTATGTGCCATGGCCCTATATTTTGCTTCTGCACTGCTTCTTGCCACAACTRTTTGCTTCTTACTTTTCCACGTTACCAGGTTACCCCCCAGGAAGGTACAATAGCCTGTGGTAGACCGTCTATTAGACATGGAACCTGCCCAATCAGCATCGATGTATCCTTCTACTTCCAGTTTTCCACCACTTTTGTACAATAACCCACGGCCAGGAGCTCCTTTCAAGTACCTCACAATCCTTAGCACTGCATTCCAATGTGGGACCAAAGGTTTGTCAAATACCACCACTTGGTCCTCGACAAGGCAGGCTATCCAATCCCTCCACTACCACTCTATTGGGTGGTAAGTGATAGTAGATAGATTAAAAGTGGTCCACAAAGACTTTGGCTATTTTCTCTGAGCTTATGATCACCTTATTTCCAACCAAAATTCTAGAGACAAGAATTTTCTTCTTCCTTCCATTTGGTAAGGAGAGAACCTATAATTCCCATCTCCTTTAATCTGCTTGCATCATGACTTTTGTCTCCATATAACTTCTTTATGTTAAATCCAATTCTTCCTTCATTCTCCATTTTTTATCATTGTTATTCTTCAAAACACTTCTTTATTCAACACTTTTATTTTCCTTTATAGGCATTGTTATTTTTTATAGAACCTTACAACTGTTTTTATAGAATTTTCCTTTTAATCTAAGTGGTATTCTCCTATCACATAAAACTCCATATGCACCCCTCCATTTTGCCCATCCTGCTCTAATGGACAAAATGGAGGGGTGTATCATGCTCCATAAATCACAAACTTTTTTTTTTTTTTGCCTTACAAAACAAATGGCAGAGCTCAAGTGCTTGTTTTTGTTTTTTTTTTTCTGATGTGGCCATTTCAAAAACAAATGAAAACAAAAACATTCATGTTATGGAACACCCACAATTTTTCAGCAATTTGTTCCCAACAAATGCCTGACACTTCAACCTCTCTTGAAAGAATGCTTTAAGGTACAAAGCAGTGTTCTCCATATCTGTGTTCCAACTTAACTCAACTCAATTAAGCCTTAGCCCAACTATATGGGGTCGGCCACATGAATCCTGTTCCACCATTCCTCTTCAGTGCCATATCCATTGTAAAATTATGGGCCCTTAATTCATTTCTAAATCCTTCTTTTTTTTCAAACCCCAAAATTTACCATTATCCTTCAAATACCAGTACTAGAGACATTACAAAATCAAGATTACAGAAAACTGCAAATTCACCATATACAAATAAAAGAAATGAACTCAATTGCCTCAATTCTAAAAAGTTAACCAAAACGAAGATCCCGAGCTGCTCTGTAAATCTGAATTCTAATCGTTTAAGTGCAAAAACAGAGTAAAACAAGGTGATAATTAGTAGAGACTCACCTCGGGATTAGATTCGCAACAAACCACAGGTCTCCGAGCGAGCCGAGAACAACGGCCAGAACTGCGTCTTTTCTGAAAGATGCGCGAAGTGCCAGCTTGACGACGAGAGAGAAAGAACCCGAAGACTTTCCGGGCGTCGGGGGAATTCAAAACGAGGGTAGGGGAAACAGAGATCATCGTCATTAGGCTTACAGGAGCAAGACCGAAGACGAGATGTTCGTTTGGATTCTTTAGAGATGGATGACAAAGTACTAACAATAAATGCGTTGGAAGTTAACACTGACTATTATTGCGAAATTATTTCAGTAGACAGATACCGCTCCAAGCGGCGATGATAAATGAAGACCTGCATCGTCGAATGTCGAGTTGTTCTGTTGTTGCTTTGAAATTTCGTAGCTGATGTAACGAGTCTGGTCTGTATCTGCATCATCTCCTCACAGATCGCACCTCACTCGGACCTCACAGACCAATCATTGGGAAGAGATGCTCCCAATACACGGTTGGATGGTCCGTCTGAGGTGCTCTCCGTGAGGAGATCCCGATTTGCGTCCAGTCGGGATCTGCTCCTGACAGGGCGTGCCTCCCACAGTCACACCAACCTCACAGCTTGTTGTACATCCATAATATCTCCCGTACTTGTACATTATCTATGGGAGATAAATGGACCAGGTCCAATCCAATTCAATGAATGCTTTGGACCAATTTGGATCAGTCTAATTCAATGTTTGGACCATTTAATATGTTCAAATTCATTTTGATTTAGATTGGTTTCAACCCAAACCCGGTCCATTGACAGATATATTYTTATCTTATATCAATGGACCAAATATTGCCCTAATCCAACTCAATCCAATATAAATTTGTTACGGATGGACCAGGTACAATCCAAACTAATAAATATTTTGGACCAGATTAGTCCAATCCAATATGTCTTGTTGGTCCGTCCAATCCATCCAAATTGATTTTGGACTGGACGGGGTCCAATTCAAAACCGGTCCATTGACACCCTTAATTGTAATATTGGTGTGAGGAGTAGATCCAAACTCACATCCCACTAAACCATGAGTAAGACTAGAATTGGGATTTATTTCTCACAGAGAATATTTCATATCAACCTCACAACTCATCGTATTGAAAACATCTCCTATGAATAACAACACAAATTACAGAAGATATTTAAAATGTACGACCGGAAGGCATTGTCTAATGGTGTGAGGAGCAATCTGTCAGGAGACGATCTGGGCGTGTGAGACTAAGCCCTCACTTGAAATTTGAGGCATTTAAAAATATCTTCACTGGTCAAATTTTTTGGATAATAATTGAAACAAAATAGGGATGTCGCCCTTTCTATTTCTTTGCCTTGTATGATAGTTGAGGGCTTTAATTTTGCTCTTAATGTGGAGGAAAAGGTGGAAAGGAGGGGCCCACATAAAGGGTCCATGAAAGACTTTCAGGACATGGTAAATTCTCTATAATTGGTGGTTGTGGGTTATGAAGGTAAGGTTTTTACATGGTGTAATGGGAGGCAAGGCTTGGATTGTGCTTGGGCCAGGCTTAACCGAGTTCTAGTTAATGGGGATTGGCTGAATATTTTCCCTTTGAGGGCTATTAAACATTTGAACCGCCTATACTCGGATCACTCACTTTAATGTTGTCCTTTGCGGAGGAGCACCCCTTGCTCCCAAATGGTTTTAAATTTCCGCAAATGTGGTTAGAAAATGCAGACTTTTGTACTGTGGTGAAAGATTGTTGGCAAAGACCTATAGGGGGAGATCATGTAGTTATAATTTGCAAAAAAATCGAAGAGCCTTAGAAGCACTCTAAGGAACTGGAATTGGTCTGTTTTTGGAAACAGTCACTAGCAAGTCTGCCAAGCTGAGGATCTAGTTGTGGCCAGAGAGTTTGAACATGCTGAAAACCCCTCTAATGATGCAAGACTARCTCTTTATGAGGCTAGAAATTAGCTTTACAATGTACTGAAAATGGAAGAAATATTCTGGCGTCAAAAATTCAAAATCACTTGGTTGAAAGAAGGGGACAGGAATACAGCCTTTTTTTACAATTCGGTTAAAGTCAAAAGGAGGAAAAGTCAAATCCAGAGAATTAGTGATTCATAGGGTAATTGGCAGTCAGATCAGGAGGTTATTATAATGTTGTTAAAGTTTTTCTCTAGCATTCTATTGGCCGATGTGGTCTTTGAAGGTATAGATCTTTTGTCTGTTATTGAGCCAGTTGTAACTTCGGAGGATAATGTTGGTTTGATGTTGATCCCTAGTTTGAGGGAGGTCAAGGAAGCAATTTTTTGCTTGAACAGAGATGCAACTCCTAGAACGAATGGTTTTCTGGCCTTATTTTTTTTTTTTTTTTTGTTGCTTATTGGGATATAGTGTCTGAAGATGTGTATGATGCTATTTGCTTTATTTTTAAGGGTGAAGATAATTCAAGAGGTCCTACTTCCTGCTAGATTTCTCTTATCCTAAAGGTGGAAAATCCTACCACTTGCTCAAATTTTAGTGTGAGTAATTTTATTTATAAAATTCTTGCTAAAATTGTCACTAATAGGTTAAAGACCCTTGCTTCCCACTCTCATATCCATGGTTTTCAAAATCAGACCGGACCGGAAAAACCGGGAACCGGTTTCATTTTCCTTCAAAATCACTTTTTCTCCAAAATTGTTGACTTTGGTCAGCAGACCACTGACCCAGCTGGTTAATTGTTTGAATGGTTTTGACAATTTTTCAATTTTTTTTTTAATTTTTTTTGTCAGAACAGGCTGATCATTCAAGTCGAACGATTAGACAGTTCAAACCGATAACTGAACCCCTGACTAGTTCGAACACCAGTTCACTTTTAAAAACCATGCTCATATCCAAGGAACAAGGTGCTTTTGTTGAAGGCAAAAATATTTTGGATGCATTGCTTTAGTGCAAGAGATGGCTAATGAAATTGATAGAAAAACTCCAAGGGGTAATGTCATTCTTAAACTACATATGACTAAAGCCTATGATAGGCTTGAATACTTAAATATAATGTCATTCAAGAATTATATATGAGTATTGTACATTCCATTGTAACCTCGAAATTCCAAATCTTCAAACTCAATAACCTGACCAAATATGTGCAATTCTTGAATCCTCTCTTTCTTTGTCTATTCATCTCTTAATTATTGAGTTTAAAGATTTAAATATGGACAACCAGTGAAGCAAAACCCTTCCCCAACCAAGCTTCCACCCTTTAGTTTTTCCTGCATACCAGTAAACTAGGACAACAACAGTGTTCGTACAAAAAAGATGAAACAACAATGAAGAGATTTTAGGTTATGAGAAAACGACAAAAATTGGAGTCATCTGGAATACCGTTTATCATCTTATTAGGCATAGTGGTTACAAATTTTGCAAGTGCAACTGAAAATTAGAAGCGGTGTTTAGTCCAATAAATTATTTTATAAATTGGAAGTTTATTTCATGTAGTTTACCAGAGTACAAATTGAAAATAAAGAGCAAATATGATTCTTTTGAGCCTTCCAGATTGGACCTCTTGCAATTTTCATTATTTTAGCTTGCTGGATTACGAGAAATTATTTATGCATTATTCAACATGCTTCCAAGTTTTCATTTTCTTTTAATTTTTTCCTTTTCCATGTTCTTTCTCTTTTCAAATTCATTTCAAGCTAAATTAAACACTTCCAATTGGTTGGAACAAAAAAAAATCAAGTCTAGTGGACCTGAAATTTTTACTGTAGGTTCTATAGAACCCACTAAAAATTGGAAAAACAATGTTACAACAAAGTTAAACATGCATAAACCCTAGATGATCCCATCAAATAACAACAACACAAAATTTAAAAAACAAACTGTTATGGAATTAAGAAAATAGAACAGAAGTGAGAAAATGAAACCCTGTTATTGAGAAATGAGAACTTAAACTTTGTTTTAAAACTAAAACGTTACCTAGAAATTGAGCTAAGATTTGTGGTGGAAAAGAAAGAAATAGAATCCCAATCATGTTTTAAATGAATTTTAATGATCTGAATAAATATAGTTTCTAGATGAAACTTTCTTGTTGCCAGATACAAATCAAAAGAAAAAATATAGACTCAAATCAAACCTTTCTTGTCGAAAAAATAAAGTTGCTAGATGAAACCTCTCTCCCTCAACAAATCTTTCTTTCAATCGATTGAAGTCAATCCTTGTCTCAATCGAGCTGATGAATGGTGATATAAAATGCCTAAACCCGTTTCTTCTCCTTACCTATTCAATCAAACCTTGTTCATTCTTTATAAGAATCAAAACTCAAAATCCCTTGATTGAAAACCCGAGAGCTGGTGTATGTGTCAAAGTTGAAGATGAAGTCAAACCCCTCAGTAGAAAGGATCTCATTGATTTGGAAAATGGGAACTGGTGTTTGTGTCGAAGTTGAAGACAAAAGGAAATAGCACTTTGCAATTTTTTTTGAAAACTTTGGCATCTTGGTTCATTTGATTTAGACTGATTTAATCTTGGTTCATGACTAGTTTATATAAAACCTGGTTTAATCTTGGTTCATTTGATTTAGACTGGCCTAGATCATTTTTCATGTGGTGAAAGAGGAGACACCTTAGTGCTTTTTGTTCCAAGGAAACACAGAGCACATTGATGATCACTTTGTTTTACCAAAACCAGCTGATATCACTAGACCGGATTCATCTCTCAGAACTGCACATTGGTGAACCCAGTAGGCCCTTGTTGAGAAAAACTGCCATCAATATTAAGTTTTAATTCACTCGGCGTAGGAGCTTTCCAAAAAAATAGCATCTTCTAGTCTAAGAGCTTGAGAAAAATTTGGCAATTCTTCGCGGGAAATTATGTCTCTCCTTCCACATCCTGTAAAATTACATCAAGAACAGCTCTTGGGTTTGGACAACATTTTCAAAAAATTTTCTATTTCTACTCTTCCAGATATTCCAAAGTGCCAGAAAAACAAATGTTAACAATTCATCCTCGTTATCTTTTTCTTTAGTATAGCATGCCAGCCAAGAGCCAAAACCAGTGACTAAAAAGATACGGAGTTTGGGTTTCAGTTCATTAATTTTGGCACTTAAGTGGCTTCCAAACTAGACTGCTTGAGCATGACTACAATGAAAGAAGCAGTGCAAAACATTTTCGGTTTCTTTATGGCATATAGGGCATAACTCATCATTTGTCAGTCTCTTTTTGTGAAGTTTCTCTTTAATTACTACAACATTCACACAACACTTCCAGATAAAACTATTTTTGGGTCTATTTTTACTTTCCATAACTTAGTCTATTGAGATTTTTTAAGATTCAGACCATTATAATTTTGACAAAGATATATAGTTCCAGAGTTATTGTTATTAGTAATTACATAATACCCTATTTTTTACTATATACTTCCCACTTTGGTAAAAACTCCATCTTAATTTGTCATCCCATAGACCCATAGCTATA